AGCTGAAAAATTAGCTACTGCTCCTTCAGGTTGAGGCTAGAGAGATGACAAACAGCTTACTGGTCTTAGGTACCAGTAATGGCAAGATAGCGTTTCCAGCAAACAAAATTATAGACAGGACTTTGCACGTGCCAGCTAACAGTTCTCTTCTGGGCTCCTTTTGGTTACAGAGATTAACATCCAGATACAGCTTAAATACAGAGGTGTTTTTTAACCTGCAACTGACAGCCATTCCACATTTTCTACTATTCTTAATTACGACAACGGTGGCTTCTCTAGGAAAATGCTACCAAACTTATAAGACAAATTTGAAAGTGTAATAATTGCAGATATAAAGCAATATCTCACTATGTTAATTAAGCAATTTTGTTTCTAAGAAACTCACTTAGGGAACAAGTTAGATAGTTCATTGTAATTGTTAGTATACTGGCAATTTAGAATAAATTAGTTGCTATCAAAGGCTCAGTGGTAGAGAGCTGTCAGTACTCTCTGGTCAGCTAAGTCCTTCCTGCACAAAGGCATTATTAAGGGAATGGTCAAGGCTTCTCCACCTCCTCCCCATCTTGTTAGTTAGAATGACTGCCTGCTACATATTTTGTAATCTCTCTTGTGCAAAAGCTAGGCTGTTGGCTTATCACTCAAATTTCAAAAAGAAAGACAAGTAGCCTGCTTTTCATCTGATCCTTGTCCTTTGACTTGCCTCACTCAGACAGCAAATACTTTAAATTTCCATCAGTACAGCTGTATGAGTCATTTCACACAAACAATCCACATCTTTAAAGGGCAGTCACAAGACAGGGAGATAGAACAACAGAATTTTATCTTATCCAAGGAGAATTACTGCTGTACCTACCAGGAATGAGAATAATATAACTGGGAATAAGAATAATGTGAATGTAATAGAAATCTGACAATACCAGAAAAAATAATGTCAATGTGCAATCTGAAGAAAACTGGCAATTGAAAGGAATGTTTCCAGGCTAGGAGGAGACGTCTTAAGAGTCCCACAGGCATGTGAAGATGATTACTTGTTTATGGGTTATCACCTACTACAGGTAAAGATCATCAAGCATTTTGGACAGTATCTGGCAGCCCACACTCAAGCTAGCTCAATTTGAAAGACAGGACTCATGACTACAAACTTACCTTCATTACCAAGTTGTACTTACTCTTTGGAGAAGGGAACCAGGGGTTAGATGGCAACAATCCAACTGACGTATATTTTCATGAGATCTGCTGCTGTCTCAGGAGAAGACACCCAGCACCCAAATAAAGCTGTTTCATAGTCAGTATGCAACACAGAAAGCACCAGTTTAGTGGAAAAAAAAAACAAACAAACAAACAGCAGGTGAAGAAGAGGGGAATTAATTACCCTGCAGGAAAAAGTATGTAAGTGCAGTAAAAGCAATGCAAAATTAATAGGCTTGAAATTCTAGGTAGGGAAATTGGCGATCCAGAACTGAAGCTGGTTTAGATCACTCTGTTTCTGACAGCATTTAGCTGTTTTAAAGTATTAGCACAGTTACCATGTCTACTAGAGGCTGAGTACCACTACAGTGGCAGATGTTGGTTTTTATCACATATTTGATGGTTAACTATAAATGGAGTTATTTTTGCTAAAACAAATATCTATTCTGTAATTACCCATCTCTCAAGTATGAAAGTTCCAAAATGTAGGAATATCTTAAATGAAATTGTTTTGACATAGCAGGCAAATAGGGATGCAGAAGATTGCTTTCACAAATTCTTATCAGGAGAATTACCTTATGAATATTATTATTATCATCTTGTAGCTAATGTCTGTACCTAAAAATCTTGGGCAAGTCTGCCTCGAACCTAGATATGTACTGTAACAATTAGGACAGGTCACACCTTCCTTCACTTTAAATGAGTGGTACTCGTTGCAGCAGAACAGAACTTATTAATCCAAAAAAAGGATTGATTCAAACAAATGGCAGCTTATCCATTGTTTTCAATGGATTTGAATTCAAATCGTGCCTGGATTTGGAAGCACAGACCCCAGCAGTCACCTAACAGGGTAAGAACGGTTCTCATGATCTAAAGCCAAGGCAGAAGATGAGAACACAAAAAGGAAACATCATGAATGGCTTTGAAATTTTATCTATGAATGTTGAAAGGACAAATATAGACAAGAAAACTGAAGCCTGCCATATGAGGAAAAGCTTAGAGACTTGGTTTTGTTCAGCCTTGAGAAAAGGCAGCGTAGGGGAGACCTTATCACTGTGTTCCAGTATTTAAAGGGTGGCTACAAAGAAGATGGAGACTCCCTTTTTACAAGGAGTCACATGGAAAAGAGGAGGGGGAATGGGTACAAGTTACTCCTGGGGAGATTCCAATTAGACGGCAAGAGGAAAATTTTTCACAATGAGAACAATCGACCATTGGAATAATCTTCCCAGGGAAGTGCTGGATTCCTCAACATTGGACACTTTGAAGATTCATCTGGGCAGGGTGCTGGGCCTTCTTGTCTAGACCGTGCTTTTGCCAAGGAAGGTTGGACCAGATGATCCTTAAAGTCCCTTCCAACCTGGTATTCTACGATTCTGTGAACTGCATATTGGTGTCACTTTGGAAAAGGATCTATGAAATTATGCTTGCTTACCTACAAAATAATTCATTCTCTGTGAGTGTAAAGTAAACTGATTTTATAACTTCTAAGCACCACAGCAACACTTACAGTTTCAACAACAGCAAAAAATTCTACAAATGTTGATGAGACAATGTGATTTCTTTTTCACAGTCCTGCCATACATTGCCCATTACTGTCTATGTAATTTTCCATACAGAAAATGGTCTCTGAATCTATCCCAATCTATCTTTATATGAGGTAGAAATGTACAGAAAGAGCAGATGAAGAGCCACAGAACATCTTTTACTTATTGCAATTCCTTTAGAAGATATAAATGACACAAAGAGGGAAGCAATACTGGAAAGTTCTGAAAATATTTTCTCTACACATATAGGCTGGAACAGACGTGGTTTGACTTTCTAACTGGGTTTGAAACCTGAAACAGACAGGGACAAGGGCAATTGTCAGGCATGAAGACTGGAGACCTACAATGGACACAAAAAGGACCTTTAGGAAATCACTGATCTACTTCAATAATCTTGTCAAAGATGGTCAGATAACTAGACATGTGAAAGAGAATGAAAGTATATGGGCCATAATTATTCTTTGGCAATGAGGTTGCATTTTCCAGAATTAGAACTAATCCCTGTGATTGATGACAAACGGTTGAAACTGATCTAGCCATTCTCCTAGAAATCTGGAAACATTCAAGCTGGTTTTCATATTCACCCCAGTTTCCTACCTGTTCAGGTGTTTTCATATAATATGAAAATAAACTAAAAAAAGACCCAACCAAACCACACACAAGGAAACACAGAAAATATTTTGATTTTGTTATTTTGCTTTTGACTTGCCCTGGTTATTCCTGAGGAGCTTCCAAATCATTGCTAATCTAATTCTGATTTCAGAAAAGCAATGGTTTGGGAAACACAGTGTAGAATGTTGATGCCACCAATGACCACAGAAGGGCAGATCTTGAATAAGCACAGATACATTGAGTACATCCATAGAAATTTCTTGATTTAAACTGCTGATCTGTTAACTCCTACAGCATTGTGTTTCAATCATGAATAAAAGGATTTTTTAGTGTACTTTGGGAATCCTCCAGATCTGAAGCAAAATATTAATGAAAAACCATTTCTTTGTGTTGGTTTGGGAAACATTAGGATGTCAGATTAAAGAACATGTAGTTAGTTATTCAGTAAGCTCTATCAGTAACACAGTATGGATCTACATATAGCTAGTATCCCCCTGGTTTTATAGAAGTACAAATATTTCTTTAAACGTGATTCTGGATGATACTTATCAGCATTCCCCCTAATAGTAGAAGAAATTTTGAATAGTGTTCCTATTTAATTAATATGATTAATAATTTCACAAGTCATTATTTGGTCATTGTTGAATGAAACAAAATAGCATGATCAGGGAAGTTGGAGGAAAATATGTTAATTCAGGATTTAGACCAGAAATCAAAGCAGTAGCCATGCTAAGAAAAACGTGAAAAACACATGAAGTATGTGATATAGAGTATATAAAATACAAAATTTCTGTCTCTCTTGTTCCTTGCATCTATAACAGAAATCAAAATACAGAAAACGAGACTTGTTTTCCTTTTACTGTCTGTCTTGATGCCTTCCTGTTGCTCTTTTTTCCTAAGCTTTCAAATTGTAATTACTTAGTGTAAAGTTTTTAATTTTTTTTGCATGTTATTCTAAAGTTATCAGCATACATGGATTGCCAATACAATTATAGGGCAGCAAGAAGAATGTTATCCTACCTGTGAACAAAGGAAATGAGAAAGCAAATGAGATGTTTTCATGCTTTATGCATCTATTTCTCTTGATGTTTTTATTGCTTCTACACTGCCCGGGGAAACGATCATATGGCACTTCTCTCAATCTCTGTACGAACCAGTTGCAGTCTGGGGATCTTTGGCAGATGATCCGAAGTCAGTCTATGTCTACTGAAATAAATGCATGCAGACTTATCACGTTCCTGTAGCTTTTGAACAGATGACTAATAATCCTGACAGCTTGGCCATTAATTTTTTAATTAGGGATAAACCCTGTATTATGTAGCAGAGCAACAGAGGATACAGCTGCCTTGTTCTTTTTCAATCAGGTTGTGCAGTAACAGGATTAACTAACTCTTTGAGAAATAGTTGCTGTACCAGTATACGTATGGTTAACTGGGTGTCCCACAGCTTTAAAATAACATTCAGTGAACCTTCTTTCTCTTTCAGCCCTGCCTTCTTGGGGCTGAACTACCCAAAGAGCACAATGCCATCAGAACTCCAGGAAGATAAATATCTCTGCTTTTATCCTTCTCCCAACCCTAAGCTTTGATTGATTCTAGATACTTCCTAATCTCTGAAGGTTTCTTATGCACGGGCTTTTGCTTTATTTTACAGATACATGGCCATTATTGATCCCTTGAAACCTAGGCTCTCTGCAACTGCTACCAAGGTGGTCATTGGGAGCATATGGATTTTGGCTTTCCTGTTGGCCTTTCCCCAGTGCCTATACTCCATAACCAAGGTGATGCCTGGGAGAACTCTTTGCTATGTAGCATGGCCAGGTGGTCCAAAACAGCATTTTATGTAAGATTTTGTTCTTTTAATCTTGTGCATGGTGGTGTCTACAATTGCAATGGACTTGGCAAAAGTTGTAGAGTATCATATAGATACTCTACATGCAGAATAACTAACAGCATTGATCACTGAGAAACATGAAGTGCATTTATTAAGCTAGAAAGATAGCGCATTTTAAGGGATAAGTGGAACACATCTATTCTCTTCTACTTCTATAAGTGTTCTCCATCCCACGCTGCATGTTTATCATCATTGCTTCACTTAAGATGGCTACTTCTATACAGACAGAGATGGTCAGAAATGGGGACAGAACATGCAGTTCAAAGCAAGCTTCCTTTTCATCCTGACCAGGGAAACAAGTATTTCCAGCCTCTCTTTGTCCTAATCAGATTTTTTCCTCTGGATCTCTTCATCAGAGGGTTGGATTTTCCCACTTTATTCTGTAACAATATCACAATTACTTATGTCAGGTCTCAGTTCAAATAAGAAAACTGTTAAACCTGTAATTGGTTCCAGTTTCTGGAAGTGTGGAATACAGTCAATTGAATTCAATATATCCTATTCGTCCCTCTGGCAGAATTAGGAATAAGTGGTTACCTAGTCATATAAACATTATTTGCCCTTTCATGTCTTCATTGGCATTTAAGACGAACTCTGTAACCCAGGCTGAAAGCCTGCTAACCATCCAGAATCAAATTTGACCTTTTGCTATCTTTCAGGCAGATGAAAAAGGCCCTGATCATATATAATTTTTATCACTTTAGGAGCCATGCACAGACATTTCTCTTTAGGGCAGTAAGCTCACTCTCAGCAATAGCCAGGGATTCTTCACTGATCCTTCACTGGGATTTTATCTGAAGATGGCATTTAACCAGAAACTAACAGGAGGCAAAAGAAGTTACCTTTTTTCCCTGTGCGATGACTATGTTGCACATGAGCAACTTAGATCTGTGATGCCTACACACAACAGGTCTGCCATATGAAGTACTTCGGGTAACACATGACACTTATCAGGGCCTTACCATTTAAATACTTATTTCCCTCTTTCATTTGTGGTCCAGACTAGAGCTCAAAACCCCTAGCTTGCACTTAGGATACTTGGCTGTGCAATAACTAAATCAATTCAGCTAGTTATGGACAAACATACCTTACTCTGCAGTCACTAATCATGATAACTATAGAGTCATTCCTAATTTATGCTAGTACAAGTTCAGAATCAGAACTAAAAACCCCATAAAGCACTTGCATTAAAATGTAAATAAATTTGCAGTGCAATTCAAGACTTTCAAAAAAGACAGTGAAAACACTGAGAACAAGCCAGCCAGTAGAATACATGCTTTGTGCTACAGTAGCACTCTTAACTTCTGTTAGCCTATTCCATTGGCGTAACTCTGAAAGCACTTATCGGCTTAATGCCTTTTCATTGCAGGTATCATGTCATTGTGATTGTGCTGGTCTACTGCTTTCCACTGCTTGTCATGGGCATCACTTACTCCATAGTGGGAATTACCCTCTGGGGAGGAGAAATACCAGGAGACACATCCAACAAATATCACGAGCAGCTCAAAGCTAAGAGAAAGGTACTGTTCCATTAAACCTCACTAAGTGAATCCTGGTAACATCATCTGCAATTGTGTTGCACAGTATCACAGTATGTTTCTTCAGAAACACCAAGTCACTTAAAATAACAGTAATGAGATCTACTTCAATAAAAAATGTTATTGTTTGACAAATTGTCTTCTATGTTCACAAGATGTTCTTTTTGTAACTTTACTGTTCATCATTAAATAAAGGTAACATTTGGATTTTCACTTCTTGCTGCACATGCAGTGGCATATACTCTGTCTGATACATGGAAATTAAGCCCAAATGTTTAGCCTTTACAGAGCTAAAAATACTAAGTTTTGCACGACGGGCTAGTGAAGAGTTAGGTCCTCTTAGGCCAGATTCTCATCAAAGAAAAATGAATCTTGCTGTAATTTTCAGTAGATTAAGACCCACGCATCTTTGAGAGGAGTGCTGTTCATATTGATGAACTTATAGGTTCATTTAGGTTTTCAATCAATAACTTTTGGTGAGAAATACAAACTACTTTTGTCAGTTATTTCCTTTCCAACTTTTTCACAGTAAGTATTGCCTAATCTAACAAGACTGTGGATTGCTTATGAACTGATTATTTGACTATTTCCAGTTCAATTTTCATGATGTTACAGTGCCATGAAGGTTTCTTTCTTATAACATTCATTTTCTTAACCTAACTTTTCTTCTTTAATAAGGCAGCCCTTCTGCTTTTTATTTCTGACTTTTTTAATACTAAAATGCATTTAGACTTTTGGATTTGAAAAATTGGTACTCAAACATGGACTTCTACCTCACAATGATGAGTACATTTTCAATGTCTCAGTTTGCTTCCTGATACGGTGAATATGTTTGAACTTTGGCATATGCTACCACACTGCAGCAATAGCAGAGTGCAGTGTATTGGGTCCTGAGACAACAGGAGATCTTCTGCAAATACTGGAGAACACTGATGTTTCCATTTCTTTCAGGATACTGCCAGGAACATATGAATGTATCTTTTCCCCTCATACTACGTAGAAAAAGTAGTTACAGCAGAGAATATATGAAAGGAAAGATTAGGATCATTTTCTTATTCATACGTCTTCAGACTCATAAGAGACAAGTGCAAAACTTTCCATGACAAGTTTCAGTTGTCAGAATGGCAGACAGGCCTACACAGCTTTACGGCACGATGTGCAATGCCTCCTATGAAGCTGAAGGTGTTATTTATGTCTTTACATAGCTTTTTTTAGAGGGCAAAACGCTAGCCTCTTCTTAAGGAAACGAAATGCAGTTTGACTAGTATTATCACTACTATTGCCTTGTAACAGTTCAAAGTTTATTTGGACTGTGAACAGAGATAAAATGATGAAAAATCATCATGGAAAACTAAGCAGTTTGCTTTGCATATTTGCCCCAAAGCGAAAATATCAGACTACTTTCCAGAAATCTGAAAGCATTTCAAAAGATGAGCGTTTCACACTCTAATATTATCCACAAAAGTCCAACTTACTATTACAGCCTTTGCCATGCATGTGTCACCCAAAAGTGTATTTTCAAAGTTATGAAATTACCTTTCACATAGAGCATAAGCAGAAAAAGACTTCACTAGTCAATTAACTGTGCTATTACCGATACTGCCCTTTTAGCCAGGGAAAAAAAGGAAGCAAATACTCTGTGGAGGGTGCCCAGGCACAAACCAAGGAATCACTTTCTGTAATAGACACAGTTTGTAAAAGCAAGTGTGAAAAAAAAATTATTAAAAGCTAACTTGGAGAACCAGAAGATCCCAGAACTTCAGCACCTGTTATCATAATGACGAAGTAAAATAAACATGTCATAAAAAATAAAGGTCTCTGAAGAGAAAACCTGGCTTTTGCTATATGCTGTGAAGGGTCCAATTAACGCCCTTGAATACTTTAAAAACAGCACCTCTTTAGAACTCTAAATATATGCAAGAGACAAGGATTAGCATCCTTAGGTAAAGGATTTTAAATGTGAGAGTACTAGAATGCATGCCTTCAACACGTGCAGGGTGATTAAATTATGTGCAGATGTAACTGCATCAGTGACTTTATTGTCAGGGCTCCATGACAGCTCTTCAGTTCCACTGCTGTGCTCTCCAGCAGGATTTATGAAATAACTGGTATTTGGAAAGATGAATCATAATTGGTCATTCATGGAAATGAAATAATAGACTGGAATAGAAATAAAGCTATCACTCAGCCTGCCTCTGGTAACAGAGCTATTGCTTTTCCTTTATTCAAACAAAGAAATCATCTGTTTTTCTTGCTATTTAGCATGCAGATATCTAGACATACAGAAAGTCTGTGCACTTATAATGAAGGAGAAATATAAAATAGCTGACTACATGTTTCATATTATGCAATGATACAGTGCAAAAGCTGATTAGGGTTGTTTGAAATGTTATTGAATGTTAAGAAGGTAGTGACCAGTACATGTAAGACCTATGTTTGCCAAGAAAGATTTGAAGCTTGAGGAAGTTGCTAGCATTTTGATAGGCAGTCTCATCACTTCATACGTGTGACTGTGCAATGCACCCTGAATCCTTCTGAAAGCAACATCAAAGAACAAAGGATTCAAAGAATTTCACAGTACACACTACAGGCTGGGCAATACAAAGTCAAAGGGGTCAAAGACTTGAAATTATTAGAAATTCAGGACTGCATGAGACTACTAGCAGTACTTTTTTTTTTTTTTTTTTGACAGATCAAATGTCTCAGGGACTGACCCATTTAAATTTGCCTGCCATCAGCCTTTTGAACTTCTGAACATTCACTACATGTGGGGACTTTGCAGCCATTACACTTTCTTAAAGCTCCTGGCATGAGACTGACTGATGTTCAGATGAACATCATCTGTTCTCCTGCAAACCTCATTTTCACAAGACAGAATTTTCAATACTGTCATACGTAACTGACGTTTGTATAGGTGGCTCATAATGTAACTCTCAGTTTTAGTAGGTCAAAGTAGTCTTTATATTCAACGCAAATACTTAGAGACTTGCTCTCAGATGTTCTCTCCACACTCTGTTTGTTCTATCTAACCTGTTCCAATCCCTCTTCCAACTTTAGTTAACCTGTAAGAGGGGACAATCATGTACTGTAAATAAAATCAGTTACTGCTGTCTTTGTCAGTTCCAACATAACTGTCTTCCGAAAAAAATAGTGTTTCTCTCAACAGAAGATGCCATTACTTTGTCCCAATAGGAAGAATACAGAAGAACAGAAAATACTCTCCTCAACTTTTGTATCATTTCTTTACAGTTCCTCTTACCTCTAACTATTAACTTATGATAAAAAGACACTGTTCATCTTTTTCAGCAATTTTTGTGACCCATCCATACTTATGCCTTTGCCTGTATTCTTTGCTTCTCCCAACACAGCTTGAAGTGTCATCTCAACTTCTTACTGCAACAAAGCCTGATTAAAAGCCATATTTTTCCAATATTAAAATTGGTTTGCAAATTTGCATATAAAACCAGAAAAGAAATCCCACATATGTTTTCTGGTGACTCACAGTATTACAGGAATCACTAAAGAGATGGTCAGGTTTACCAGTCTAACTACATAAGAAATTTTTCAAAGCTTTATCTACATAGATTTTGACAGCAAAAGTAGACATCCCATATCCATTTACAGTCAAATACATCCATCTAATTAGTTAATACACCTAGTTAATACAGTATATGCAACCCAGCGAAAGAGAAAATGAAAAAGTAGAAAACTTAAGATTTCTATCTGAAAAGAAAATAATAAAACAATATGGGACTGTAGGAATAATGATGTCATAAGAACCACTTTTGAACGTGAATTCAAAATATTCCAAAGCAAGAGAGAGGCCAGGACGTACTTTTCCAAGTCAGGGTCAGAACAGTTACATATAAACTCAAAAATCACTCAAAATTGCTGTGTGACAAGCTTTTACTACATAAACAGAAATATCCAAGTGAAGTCTTAAAGGACTACACATAAATATTACAAAAAGCCACCCCAATAATTCAAAATAATTTTCTGAAATAATTACATGAAATATTTCCCCTTTCATAGACTACGGAAGTAAGCAACAGGACAGGATCTAAACAAATGGTCTCTCTAAGAACAACTGCATAATGACTTCGCATGTAGGCACTCATGTATTTCTGTTTTGTTCTCTCTTTTTTTTTTTTTTTTTTTTGCCCCCTCCTTTCATGGATTTAAAGAAAGTCCATAGAAGGGCAACTAAAAATAAAAGATCGAAGGTCCCATGAAGAGATTAAAATGGCCTGGATTTTTCAGTTTGGAGAGGAGGCCAAGAGCTGAAATGATCAAGGTTTACAGAATGACAAAGGTGGTAGATAAAGCAACTGAAGAACTGTTGATGACCAAATCCTGAAGTACAAGAACTAATAGGATAGCAGTTTAAAGCAGGTAGAAGAGAGAGTACTTTAAGAGGGAGTAATTTAAGAGTTGGTAAAGAGATTCTGAGACTCTCTCCTGCCAGATGCTCTGATCTCAGAGGGTTCAGAAAGGGATTAGGGAAATTAACAGGCAGTAAATTCATAATTAGATATTGAAAGGTTGAAGCAGATATGCACCCTCCTCTAATACAATTTTGGATGCTGGGCAGTATTAGGAAAACAGAAGATGGAAAATGGCCAGGTTCATGGGATCAGGCTCTCTGATCCAGGAAGAATTGTCCTATGTCCTTATGTTCCTTTTTTACATGGTAGTACACCTATAATTCAGTTCAGTGTATTCAGTTCAGCATGTTATTCCTGACTTCTCATTGGCTTTCAGTGCAACTAAAAAGGCAGATTTTCCTTTTTTTTTTCTTTACCACATATGAATACATAACATAAAATCATGTTAATATACATTCTATTCTACATTGCACAACATAAGAAATGCACTAGTAAAAAATAATGATACTTCCGCTGGCATTAAATGGTAGCTGACCAGGTCAGGATGCGAGAAAGAAGCTGAATTGTTTCACTACAGAGTACTTTATTAAGCGGCAG